GGGTTAGGGTTTAGGGTTTGGGGTTTGGGGTTTAGGGTTTAGGGTTTAGGGTTTGGGGTTTAGGGTTTGGGGTTTGGGGTTTGGAGTTTAGGGTTTAGGGTTTAGGGTTTAGGGTTTAGGGTTCAGGGTTTAGGGTTTAGGTTGTAGTATACTCCTGCTAGTAAGGCCTGAACACCAGACAATTCAACCCTAAACCCTAAACCCTGACCCCTAAACCCTGAACCCTATACCCTGAACCCTATACCCTAAACCCTAAACCCTAAACCCTAAACCCTATACCCCAAACCCTAGAGCCTCTTAGCATGTTGCGCAGTGCCATGCTGCCACCCGGATGCCTCCGGCCGCTGAATCTTTGAGAGCTCGAAGGTCTGATGTTTCCTTGCTTAGGGTTTAGGGTTTAGGGTTTAGGGTTTAGGGTTTAGGGTTTAAATTAGGGTTTAGGGTTTAGGGTTTAGGGTTTAGGGTTTCGGGTTTCCCTTCTAGGGTGAGTGCCTTGTTTCAAGCTTTCGGCTTCGTGTTTCGGGCCTGCAGAACTCGCAGGATCGGGGCTCGTGATGGGAAACTTCCTCCGCGCAAAAGAATTCCCCTGAACCCTAAACCCTAAACCCTAGACCCCAAACACCAAACCCTAACCTTTCTGACGTCTGGCGCCTATTCGGATTTCGTTCTTTTTTGACTGGGCTTGCTCATTGTTTAACAGGTGCATGGGTTCAGGGTTTAAGGTTTAGGGTTTCGGGTAGGAGTTGGAGTGCAGGTTGCTTGTCGAAAGGCTTTGTGGGAAGGGCTCCTCTTGAGCGAGGAGCCGTAAAACGGGGAGCCTGCTGCGCAGAAAGATGACCCGTAATATGCCCAAACAACTGATCCTAGTTCTACTAGGAAGCCCCAAACAGAGTACCCCATTTTCCGATGTAGGGGTTTGCGAACATAGGGGACCTAAAAAAGACCCCCAAAAAGTAGGATCCCCTAATTTCGGAAACCCACATGTGGTGGGGTCTTGCCTAACAGCCCTCTGGTCGATTGTCTGGGGCCTGCCGATGTTGGGGACTGTGGAAAACCCTGAACTCTAAACCGTAGAAACCGCAGGGCCCTAAACCCTAAACCCTAAACCCTAAACCCTCAACCCTAAACCCTAAACCCCAAACCCCCTACCCTAAGTCGGGCCCGCAGGTGCGAGCAAGCTGCCGAATGGAGATCCAGCCCAGCAATTCGAGGCCCTCCTGAGCCTTCTGGGCCACGAGCTCCTTTTTGGGGGGTTTAGGGTTTAGGGTTTAGGGTTTAGGGTTTAGGGTTTGGGGTTTGGGGTTTGGGGTTTGCTCCGTTGGGGGCTTGTGGAACTTTTTTAAGGGTGTAAGGTTTAGGGTTGAGGTTTAGGGTTTAGAATAGGGTTTAGGGTTTCGAAATTTAGGATTGGGGTTAAGCTTTGTGTACTTGTTTGTTTTGTTTCGCCCTAACCTTTGGCTAAGCCCTTACGTCCTACTTTGTTCAGGGCTTTTGGGATTTTGGGTTTCGCCCTGAACCCCTATTGTATTGTTTAGGGCCTTGGGTTTCCTTGAGCCCAAACCCTAAACCCTAAACCCTAAACCCTAAACCCTAAACCCTAAACCCTAAACCCTAAACCCTAAACCCTAAACCCTAAACCCTAAAGCCAACAACGTTGAAGAACCTCTGGCCTGTGCCTCCTTGGATAAGGCGGGCCCCTTCTCCGCCGGCTCGGTAGCGCGACCGGCGATACCCAGGGCTCGGAAGGAGGTGATGAGCTGCCCTTCGTGAGGCCCAGGCTGAGGGGTTTAGGGTTTAGGGTTTAGGGTTAGGTTTTAGGGTTTAGGGTTTAGGGTTTAGGGTTTAGGGTTTAGGGTTTAGGGTTTAGGGTTTAGGGAATGCGGGCTTCAAGGTTGAGGGCTTCAGAGTTTAGGGTGTAGAGGCCTCCCTGATTTGGAGCTTGCGTGTGCTCCTAGAACTGTCAAGCCCCTGATTGAAGGTCCTAAACCCTAAAACCTAAACCCCAAACCCCAAACCCCAAACCCTAAGCTTGCCCGAAGGGCCCTAAACCCTAAACCCTAAAACCCAAACCCTAAACCCTAAATCCTAAACCCTAAACCCTAAACCCACAAAGCTCCTAGAAACCCCCAGCCAAGCTTCCGGTACCGAAGAACAGGCCCTCGGCATCTCGCGGCAGCGTTGCGCCGGCGCTGAGTACTGAGGCCCAGGGATACCTCGCGTTCCATCCAAGAAGCCCCAAGGCACCGTAAACCCTAAACCCTAGCCCTAAACCCTAAACCCTAAACCCTAAACCCTAAACCCTAAACCCTCAACCCTCAACCCTAAACTAAAACCCGAAAACCCGAAAACCCGAAAACCCGAAAACCCGAAAACCCGAAAACCCGAAAACCCGAAAACCCGAAAACCCGAAAACCCGAAAACCCGAAAACCCGAAAACCCGAAAACCCGAAAACCCTAAAACCCTAAAACCCTAAAACCCTAAAACCCTAAAACCCTAAAACCCTAAAACCCTAAAACCCTAAAACCCTAAAACCCTAAAACCCTAAAACCCTAAAACCCTAGAACCCTAGAACCCTAAAACCCTAAAACCCTAAACCCTAATGGATACCTCGGGTCCATCCAAGAAGCCCCAAAGCACCAACCCCAACGCACCAAAAAGCACAAGGGACCAAAACGACTCCGAAGTCCCCAAACCCTGAGCCCCCACTAAACCCTAAACTCTAAACCCCAAACCCTAAATGGATGAAATGTAAGAGCCATCGTGGCGACGTTTTCTGTAGATCTTCATGGCTTTGGGCTGTAGCTTCGTACTACTATAGCACCGGCAACCAAGTGGAAAGCTCAGGTTTTAGGGTGGAGGGGTTTAGGGTTTAGGGTTTAGGGTGTTAGGGTTTAGGGTTTAGGGTCTGGGTTAGGGTTGAGAGCGGGGGCCTGGGAGGGCTCCTAAACCCTAAACCCTAAACCCTAAACCCAAAACCCAAAACCTAAACCCACAGGTCTGAAAGGTGCGCAAAGACCCAGCACCCAGTTTGCGCCTGACGGACAACGGAAAACTCAAACAGCGGGCAGTGCCCATCTCAACCTGGCCCTGAGCCCTAAACCCTAAACCCTAAACCCTAAAACCTAAACCCTTAAACCCTAAATGGGAAAGCCTCCAAACCCAAAACCCTACTCCTACACCCTAGACCCTAAACTTCAAAGTCTGAAGGTCTGCTTGGGGTCTATGGGGCTTAGAGGATTAGGTCAGGGCTGAGCTTGGGGTGTAGGGTTTAGGGTTTAGGGCTTAATTGGGGTTTGGGGTTCAGGCTTGAGGGGGGATGAGGCTCGAGTGCCCTCAACCCCACGCCCCTAAACGGCCAAATACGGGGGCCTGAAGAAACTTAATGTGGTTTTGGGGCTATTCTGGTATATTTATATAGGGACCATAAGGGAAGACGATGAGTAACTATTCAGATTTCTATAGTAGGGTCTTTGGGGGTTTGGAGAGTTGTAGGGGTCCGTCACACATGCGCCCTGTTGATGGGCGTGGCGTTCCTTCCTGGCTTTAGTGCTATTAGGGCTATGGGGCATGCTCAGCTGCAAACAACTATACCCAAGAGTACCCTAGGAATGAAAAGGGTACCCTTTTTGGTTTAAATGGGCGTGTAAGGGAACCTAAACCCCAAAGAAGGGAATAAGTTCCTTCTCTGGATGCTAGTAGCCCTATATCCTAAACCCTGAACCCTAAACCCTGAACCCTAAACCCTAAACCCCTGAGGGAACCTAAACCCAAAACAAGGGAATAAGACAAGGATGCCGACCGATCTCGATGTCCGGCTCGGTGTTGTCCGGGAGGTGCTCACAGGATTCGTCGCTCACGGCGCAGTCGCGCGGAGGGTCCGCCATCGGAGCGGTTCAGGGTTCAGGGTTTCGGGTTTAGGGTTAAGGGATAAGGGTTAAGGGTTTAGTGTCTAGGGTGTAGGGTTAAGCAAACTCAATCATCCCCAGGTTTGTTAGGTCAGAAAAACGTGCGAGTAGTACTAGGAGTTCCTAAACAGTGCACCCTAAACCCTAAACCCAAACCCTACACCGTAAGCCCCGAAGCTGTGGCTTCAGGAAGTCACTGACGAAACTGGGTTGAGCCGTAGGCTCTGGGCTTGGGTCAGGATCACTACCTCAAGATATGGTTTTGAGAATTATGGCCCCTTTTTTGGGGTACCCTTAAATTAGGGGCCGACTTCTCATAGCTATTTGCCAGAAGTGATCATATGTAAATGACAGGAATCTTGAGTGCTTTGGCACTCATGTCCTCCCTTCGAACCTTCACCACTTGGTGCTTTAAGCTTGCTCCCTGTTTCAGTGGCGCCTTTGCACATTCGGGCCTTATTTATAGGACCCTAAACCCTAAACCCTAAACCCTAACCCCTAAACCCTAAACCCTAAATCCTAAACCCAAGGAATCCTATGGGCCGGCTTCGTACGCATCCTATACTGCAAGCAGCGTGTGATAGTCGCGACCATCAGCCCTCCCAGGTCCACGGGCTACTTGAGCCGAAAGGCCGACAAGAGGCATGGAACCTTGCTGGACTACATAGGGTTTAGGGTTTAGGGTTTAGGGTTTAGGGTTTAGGGATTAGGGTTTAGGGGCATGCTCCCACGAGACAAGACAGCGTAGAAACAGGCAGGGCTGGGACCCCGACCAAGTACTGAATTGCGCAGAGCACAAGAACCTAAACCCTAAACCCCAAACCTGAAATTCCTGACACTCCAAACCCTGCACCCTAAAAACCCCAAAGCGACCTAGAAGAAGCTAATCTTTGCGACCTCCACAATTGTGGTTCCCATGTTTGGGTACCCTAACCCTTGACCCTGACCCCTAAAAACTAAAACCCCTAAACCCTAAACCCTAAACCCTAAACCCTAAACCCTAAACCCTAAACCCTAAACTTGGCCCTAAACCCTAAACCCTAAACCCCTAAGCCCGGCGGCTGGAGGTTTAAGCCCGCAATCAAGGCAGGGACCCCTTGGCGTCGGCCGCATCTTTGTCGGCCCTTGCTGCAAGGAGCAAGCGGACTACCTGCCAGGCACGACCCCCCAAACCCTAAACCCTAAACCCTAAACCCTAAACCCTAAACCCTAAACCCTAAACCCTAAACCCTAAACCCTAAACCCTAAACCCTAAACCCTATACCTAAACCCCAAACCCGAGAGTGTTTGGTGGCAGAAGAGGCCCAGGTCGTTTTCAGATGGTTGGGTTCGGAGTGTCTTGCACCCATCGCACTTCGGGATACCATACTAGACACAGGAGTAACCTAGGAACAAAAAGGGTACCCTTCTTGGCCTCAAAGGGATGAAAAGGGACCCCCCCCCCCCCAACCCAAAAAAAAGGAAACACGGGCCTACTCCGGGTCCTAGCATACGAAGTCACCCGCCGGGTTTTCGGCTTAGGGTTTTGCAGGGGTTTCGGGTTAAGGGTGTGGGGTTTGGGGTTTACTGGGTTTAGGGTTAAAAAATGTTTCGAGCGTAGGGTGTAAGGAACCAAACTATCTTAGTTTCGGGTCGGTGGGCTCGCGGCTTCTTGGAGGATTTCGATCTTCAAGGCCAGGCCGCAACAAAACCCTCTTGACTCCGTACATCCAAACAGCCTCAGCAGACCGACTGATCTCATCTGCAGGTGATCTTTTGGGGCCCCGAAAGCCCTGAAACCTGTTTAAACCCTAAACTCTTTGCCAGAACCATCCAAAAAGAAGCCGGGCGCAACCCTATACCCCCTGGCCAGGTTTAGGGTTTAGGGTTTAGGGTTGCCTAGGGTTCACAGTCCGTTTAGAATCACAATGAAAAGCTCAATCTTCCTTTGAGTGAGATGCAACAAAACAACTTCCTAAGGACACTATCGAACCCCCTGGTTGCCCTTGTCTGGCTCACAGACCCCTAAATACAAAGCCCTCGAACGATCATCCGTGAAGCCTAAAACCTACAACCCGAAAACCATGCATATTGAATCGCTGAACCCTAAACCCCAAAAACGCAAAATCCTGAGCCCCAAAAAGCTCCCAACCCGAAACCCTGACCCCCCTCAAAACCCTTAAGTAACCCTTAGCCCTCAACCCTGAAACCCAAACCCCTTATTCCTAGACCCCAAGCTTTCTGCAGAGCGCACCATTCGGGACCCTTAAACCCTTAGACCCGCCCACAGAAACCCTGTTAAACGACCCTCAGCCCCAACATCCCCGGCCCTGAGCCCCAGGCCCCAAAATACCTAAAGTTGGGCCCTCCACCCTGAAAATCAAGCCCCCTAGATTATACATATATATATATATATACATATATACATACATATATATATATATATCTCCAAAACCCCAAACCCTAAACCCTAAACCGTAAACAAACCCTAAACCCCCAAGTGAACTGAGCCTCCACGTAGCCCATCTGAGATGCGAGGTGAATTGGTGCCATGGATGAGTCCACGGTACGGCCCTGGCAGCCAAAGGAGAGTTCAAGGCTCAGCTTAGGGTTTTATAGAGTTTTTAAGGTTTAGGGCTTAAGGTAAAGGGTTTAGGGTTTAGGGTTTAGGGTTTAGGGTTTAGGGTTTAGGGTTTAGGGTTTAGGGTTTGGGGCTTAAGGTTTGGCAGGCTCAGTTTAAGGCTTCGGGGGTTGGGGCTTGGAGTTATGGGCTGATGATCCTCTTAAACCCAACAAGGGAACATATAAAATGCCCTGAGGGCCGACCGAGTACTAGGCACAAGGACCCTCAGGGTTTAGGGTTTAGGGTTTAGGGTTTAGGGGCTTAGGGGCTTAGGGGCTTAGGGGCTTAGGGGCTTAGGGGCTTAGGGGCTTAGGGGCTTAGGGGCTTAGGGGTTCGGGGCTCTGGACGCGGTGGAGATGAGTGGCCGACAAATCTGATGGACAAAGGGTTTAGGGCTGATGAGCTCTTGTCGCTCCAATGTTGAAAAGCTAAGGAACTTTGTATCCTAAACCGTAAACCCCAAACCCTAAACCCTACGAGCTGAACCCTAAACCCTAGCCCTAAACCCTAAACCCTAAACCCTAAACCCTAAACCCTAAACCCTAAACCCTAAACCCGTGGAACACCAAAAGGAGCCTGGGGGTCGGCCCTGCCACGGAGCAGCAGATCCACGATCTCAGGGTGTCCGGCCCCGCACGCCTGTGGGAAGAAGGGTTTAGGGTTTAGGGTTTAGGGTTTAGGGCTAGGGTTTAGGGTTTAGGGTTTAGGGTTTAGGGTTTAGGGTTTAGGGTTCAGGGTTCAGGGTTCAGGGTTCAGGGTTCAGGGTTCAGGGTTCAGGGTTCAGGGTTTAGGGTTTAGGGTTTAAGGTTTAGGGTTTTTAAGGTTGCATCTCACGGACATTTTGCAAAGAAGGGCAGCTGGTGATTGCCCATGCTGCCAGAATATGGCTGCTGTGCCATGCAGTGTCTGCAGGAGTGATGCTTGTGTGCCAGTCTGCGCCGCCCGCAAATGACATCGTGACATCCCTAAACCCTAAACCCCAAACCCTACACCCTAAACCTGAACCCCAAACCCCAAACTCTGCACGCGGGCAGGTCGGGGAAAGCGGAGCTGATTCCCTTGCGGGTGGAGCCCCGCGGGTGGAGCCCCGCTTCTTCTCGTCTGCCTCTGTTGGCTTCGGCGCCGTCTTTGCTGCCTGCATAGGGTGTCCAATGCATCATCCACCAGGTCCGGGCGATTTAACCTTAGAGCCACTGTGAGTTCCTCGCCGTGTCCTTCCACCTGCAGGTGGCTTCTAATAGTGGCCAAAACCGCCTCCGGCTTAGGGGCCTTAGGGTTTAGGGTTTATAGGGTTTATCGGGTTTATAGGGGTTTATAGGGTATAGGGCTTAGGCACGCGGGTGAGTGCCTCGGCAAAGGTGCACCACGAATTGGCAATTGCGGATGTTGTGCGCCCTGCATAGGGCAGCCTGCCCCCTGCGGTTGCGGAGGCCCCATGCGGGGGTTTTGGGTTTAGGGTTTAGGGTTTAGGGTTTAGGGTTGCCTAAGCCCTTCCGGGGTGCGAACCAGCGGACTCCTAGTAGGCTTAGTAGGTGGTTTTAGGGTGTTGGGCAAAAGCATCTGCCAAAGAAGCCACTTGAATCCGTTCCTCCCTGCAGCCCATTTTGAGTGCAACCCCAGCCCACAGCTACCGGAATCTCAAGCCCCAAGAGTCGCCCCAGCACGGCCCAAACCCTAAATCCTGAGCCCTCAATCCTAAACCCTAAACGTGGTTGACGAGCTCAGGAGTCCGCCGACCCTGGCGGCGTGTTGGATGGGTTTGAGGAGGTGAAAACCTCCCTCTCTCCTTAAAACGCGGGGGGGGGGGGGGGGGGGTAGGGGGGTCGGTGCACAATTTTTCGTGGAGGACCGCACCACCCGCACAGCGTAAACAGGCGGTTCAGCACAGGGGGAAGGGGCGCCCCCCCTGCCCCCCCCCCCCTGCCCCCCCCCTACCCCCCACCCCCCCATCTTTTTCCGGGGCTACCCCCTACCCCCCCCCCCCCAACGTTTCACAGAACTCTGCCGAGCAGGCTGGGATGATCTTCGAACCATGCGATGAGGAAAGCATCCTTTGAGCCGACGAGCGAGTTTAGACCTTTCAACTATGCTCCAGCGGGGTCGGCGGCTTGAGCCGGAGGCTCTTAAATTTACAACACAGGGCTTTCAGGATCTCTGGCGGAAGGAATGACCCAAGTGCACGCAAACCGCTCCAATCAGCGAAAAAAAACGGGGATGCACTAGTGACTTCTAAACCCTAAACTGTTGAAGCCTTACACTTCCCTTGCTAGGTTCTACTGAAATGCCCATTTCTGAACCACCCCCTCCACAACACCAGCTCACAATTCCGCCGGAAAGCCTTGAACACTAAACCTTCAATCCTGTAACCCCTAAAGCCCTACACCCTACCCCCTGCCAATCCGAAGTTTCAGGGCTTCTGAGTGACCTTGGGACTGAATAAACCCTCAATTTGGGATCATCAAACCCGCGCTAGAGCTCCAGAACCCTAAACCTTAAACCCTAACGCCTATAAACCCTAAACCTAAAACCCTCAAACCTGCAGTGTTTACTTGGGGTCGCCAAGGCCTGTTGATTTTTAGTGGGGATGTCGAAAAGGGGGGGGTGGTGGGAGACATAGGGGTAGCTTCTAACAGGGGCTGTATGGGGCTTAGGGTTTCGGGTTTCAGGGTTCAAGGTGGGTGCAGCCCAACATCCTACCAATAAACGCCGCCCAGTATTCAAGTTTGGGCGCGGAAGACCTCTCAACCACAGTGGGAGGCCTAAAACGCAGCATAGCTTTCCGAACCGCCAAACCCGAAACTAGGGTTTAGGGTTTAGGGTTTAGGGTTTAGAATTTAGGGTTTAGGGTGAAGAGACCTGTTGAGTCCGGAAGCCCAAACGGGGCCCAAACAGATTCGCGTTTCGCGAGTCCGCACGTCCAACAGCGACGACAGTTCCGCATTTCGTGACGGACGAAGCCCAGAAGCGATCGCAGTTTCGAGGACGCGTGGGCGACGCGCGGCCATGTCGGCCTAATATAGGTGCCTTAGGGAGTGGAATAGGGTTTTGGGGCGTTACTATCGTAGAAACTACTAGGAAGTAAATTACAGTAGAACGATATAGGCACCATGAGGGGATACTATTAGGAATTATTCCGATCCCGCGGTCGCCCCTCTTACCCCCGCGACGTTGGAACCCCCTATTGTTGACACAGTTTGGAAAGTTAATCTGCAGTCATTCCCTAAAAGGGACTCCTAATCTCATTTCTACCTCATATATAGTCCCTATATACCTAAGTAGCCCCCAAATAACCCCAAAAGAAACCCTAAGGTCCCTTGCAAGGGTCCCTCCTTTAGTCCCTTAAGCCAACATGGGATGTGCCTTGAAGAGGACAGGGTTCCCGCTTTTGTCTGGAATGTTGGGGTCCTGCTGCCGCAGAATCCCAAGTTTCGGGCATACAGGGACTCGGGTGGCTACGAATTCCAAGCAGGCGTTTGCCTAAACCCTAAACCCTAAACCCTAAACCCTAAACCCTAAACCCTAAACCCTAAACCCTAAACCCTAAACCATAAACCCTAAACCCTAAACCCTAAACCCTAAACCCTAAGCCCTAAACCCTAAACCCTAAACCCTAAACCCTAAACCCTAAACCCTAAACCCTAAACCCTAAACCCTAAACCCTAAACCCTAAACCCTAAACCGGGCACATGGCGGCTGCTGAGCTTGGGGGCTTAAGGCACCCACTCGGCCAAGAGAGGATCCCAAAAACCTTAAGCCCATTGTAAGCCTCCACGCCCAGACCCTACCCTGGACCCAAGAGTAGTCTAGGAATGAACAGTGTGCCCTTGTTGCTTTGAAGGGGCTTATAAGGACCCTAAACCCTAAACCCGGAAAAAAAGCCTACTCTGGGTTCGAGTACCTTTATTTGGGGTCGACCGCCAGACCTTGATGACCTTGAAGCACGGGCGAGGGTTCAGGGAGGGGTGAGGGGGGGGGGGGGATGAATACGGAACTGGCATTAGGGTTTAGGGTCCATGTGCCGAATATCTCAAGGATTGTAGATGTACGAACTGCACAACCACAATTTCTAGTGTTCACTTAGGCACTACTGCATTACACTTGGGCCACTGGCGCATGGCACTACTGCATTACACTTGGGCCACTGGCGCATCTACAAAAACTCCCAAACGACGATCTCTTGGGCCGACGGCTCCTTATCCAGGCAATGCTTACTTGGCTAAGAACTACTTTATTTTGGGCGCAGTGGGTTCAAAGATCACACCCCTACTACTCATGTCCCGTCGACGGAAGCCCTGATAAAGGGACCCCTGAACCCCAAGCCCTAAACCCCAAACCCCAAACGCTAAACCCTAAACCCCAAACACTAAACCCTGAAACCCCAAACCCTACACCCCAAATCCTGAAACCACGCTAAACCCTAAACCCCAAACCCCAAACCCCAAACCCTAAGTCCTGAAACCCCAAACCTTAAACCCCAAACCCCGAACCCTAAACCCTGAAACCCAAACCCTGAACCCGAAATCCTGAAACCCCAAACCCAAAACAGTAAACCCTGCACCCTGAAACCATGAACCCTAAACCCTAAACCCTCAACCTTAAACGGCAACACAGAAGCCCTCAGCTTCACCCAGCTCCTGACCAAGCTCCAGGACTTCCTCGATGGCCTGTGAGGTGCTGGGTTTTGGGGGTGTGGGGGTTTAGGGTTTAGGGCTAGGGTTTAGGGATTCGGGGTTTGAGTGAGGGGTTTAGGGATAAGGGTTTAAGGTTTAGGGGTTTATGGTTTAGGTCTTTTAGCGGGTTTGGGTTTGGGCTTTCGGGGTTAGAGGTTTAGGGGTTTATGGTTTAGGGCTTAATTATAAGGGTTCAGGGGTCAGGGTTTAGGGGTTTTGGGTCTAGGCCCCGTTTTTATCCGAAAACACGAGAACTCATTCGAATTTGCATCGCCTCACGCCCTCCAGCGTCCCAGCCAAAGCCTGACCCTCAACAACAAAAAGCTGAGAGCAAACCACCGTGAACCCTCCCTCAAACCCTAAACCCCAAACCCTGGACCCCAAACCCTGAACGCTAAACCCTAAAACATTGTCGCAACAAGCTTTCTCAGGCCCCTCTTCAGAAGACACAGGGTGCCGTATAGGAGAAGCATGCACCCCGCATCGCACCTGACTGATGGTTTTAGGTAGCAGCTCGGCCTGCAACTGGTAGTAGAGAAGTTCATGCAAACTGCAGCGACACTGGAGTGCTGTCTTCATGCACAGTGAACCCTAAACCCTAAAACCCTAAAACCCTAAAACCCTAAAACCCTAAAACCCTAAACCCTAGAACCCTAAAGCCAAGGCCCTAAACCGACTGGAGTGCTGCCAGAAGCCAAAGCTTTTGAAAGGTAATGGCCTGCAAGATGCCAGCATGGCCACCTCCGAGCACTGGGTTTCCCGCCTGCTCACCTCAACACTTGCCCCAAGTGCTTGCGCAACATGCAAACAGCCGCACGGCAAGGGCGGCTGTGAATTTCGGGAAGCGGCTGAACAAGGGAGCAAGGCCGAGCCAGCAGGCGCAAGAGCAGCAAGTGCTTCGCAGGGGGCACAGCCGGCGAGAAAAAAAACCGTATCCCACGTGAGGGCCGTCCACTCTGCCTCCAAGTGAGCACCAATGCGCTCCAGGCAAAGAGCTTAGGGTTTAGGGTTTAGGGTTTTAGGGTTTAGGGTTTAGGGTTTAGGGTTCAAGGTTCAGGGTTTAGGGTTTAGGGTTTAGGGTTTAGGGTTTAGGGTTTAGGGTTCAAGGACCGTGTTCAAGAGAGCAAGCCAGTTGCCTGTCTGTATAGAGAATTCGAACCCAAAGGGAAAACTGCCCATTGCGAAACCCAGGAGGCAGTGACGGGCACTGCTGACAGTTGCGACACCCCTCGCGGCAAACCCTAAACCCTAAACCCTAAACCCTAAACCCTAAACCCTAAACCAGTCAAGCCTATGTCACTGCAGAGTTCTGTATAGTGCAGCAGCCGCAACCCCGAGAAGAGCGGAACGAGAGGCCGAAGGCATGAATGCTCAGCTCTGTGGACCTTGCTTGAGTGCCAGAGTGTCGAGCGACATCGCCGACTTCAAGCGTTTAGGGTTTAGGGTTTTTGGGTTTAGGGTTTAGGGGTCTAGGGTTTAGGGTGTCGATGCACCTATAAACCCTAAACCCTAAACCCTAAACCCTAAACCCTAAACCCCACATGTAGAAAGCTTTTGAAGCCTCGGCAGCCGCGGCCGCGGAGGCCAGGTGGAGATCATCCTTTGAAGGGCGTGTAAAGGCTCGGGAGCCCAGTTTAGGGTTTAGGGTTTAGGGTTTAGGGTTTAGGGTTTAGGGTTTAGGGTTGGGGGTTTAGGGTTTCGGGTTCAGGGTTTGGGGCTTAGGGTTTGGGGTTTAGGGAACGATATCTTACAATAAGGGCACCCTCTTTGGGTTGGATACTTTGTCCTGGGACCTACAACCAAAAAAAGGGGCCAAAGCGGGACGGTCGGGGCTGAGGGCAGAGGGGTGATGGGCTTTAGAGGGCTTGCAGGGAATATCAGAAGGCTTGCAGGGTTTAGAGTATAGAGGCATCTACTCAAGCTGAGACACTTAATCCCTTCCTCCAAATATTAAAACCCCCCCCCCCAACAGAAACTCGAAATGTGTTTGTTATGTTTAGGGGGATGCTTTTATCCAAATGTAATTTTTGTAAACTGAGAGAGAGAGAGAGAGAGAGATCCACACGGCTAAGTGCTGCGAAATGACCGGGAGGGAAGGGAGGGCTGGGAGGGAAGGGAGCTTCAGGATGTTGGTTGGCTTGAGTGGTTTGGGAGCCCTCAACCCACCACCTAATTCGGAAAAGGTTTTAAATTGTGGCGGGGGGGGGGGGGGGGGGGGTGGTTTCGGGAGGATTTTCCGGAAAGTGTTTCTATAATTAGGAAGGGGGGGGGGGGGGGGCGTTTAAAAGGGGGCAAAGGGGGGGGGGGGGGGGGGGGAAGGGATTAATCATGCTTTCAAAGTAGTTAGGGGACATGCATGTCTAGGGTGTACAGCGCACATAGACAGAGACCATCCCAGATATGACTGACATTTAGGGCTATCACAAACACCTTACTTGCAATAACCCCTTATTCCAGGAGACGCCCACCAAGAGCAGCTGTGATATACGATTCTCGCAAACACCCAGAAACTATGATCCCCTAGCCTTAAACACTAAGCCCTAGACCCTACACCCTAAACCCCTGAACCCCTGAACCCCTAAACCCCTAAACCCTAAACAGCATTTCAAGACCAAGTAACACGCAAGTTGCTCACCAGGGGCATGACCGTGGCGGTCATGTTCTGCCTCATGGTTCAGGGCTTAGGGTTTAGGGTTGAGGGCTTGGGGTTTAGGGTTTAGGGTTTAAGGTTTTGTTGTTTAGGGTTTAGGGTTTCGGCTGGTAGAGATTCTGGGCTCGCTATGAAAGAGTTGGGGATTGAGAGGTTGAGCCAGCCAGCTGAATACGCAATGCAGGTGAAGAAGGCGCAACGAGGGAAAAGAGTTGCTCCTAGGGGTTCGAAAATTCACGAGAGAGCCTGCCCCTACTTCTGAGAGAGGCCTAGGGAAACAAAACACCCTGAACAACACGCACCTACTTCAGAGGGCGGCGCCAGCGGATCAAAACCCTACATGTGGCAGATGGGAAGCCCCGACACTATGGGCTGTCCCAGCGTCCCAGGAACAGCCGAACGCGACAGAGTTTGAGGTTTATGGAGTTTAGGGACACGGATTCAGGGCTTAGTATCGGGTTTGCAGGGTCTGAGGCTAAACCCTAACCCTAACCCCTAAACCCTAAACCCTAAACCCAAAACATCCCCACTTGCAGCGAAGACGCGGGCAACCTTCCCTCTTCCAGCCGTCGGAGTCTTTGATGACCTGCGCACAGGGCAACCCTAAACCCTAAACCCCTGAACCCCTAACCCTAAACCCTAAACCCCTAAACCCTGAACCCCTGAACCCGAAGCCCACCCTTCAAAACGGCCCTCAACTCCCACTTCATGGAGCTCTCCCTGACATCAGGCGGCTCAGGCCGAGAAGGGTTTAGGGTTTAGGGTTTAGGGTTTAGGGTTTAGGGCTAGAGTTTAGGGTTTAGGGTTTAGGGTTTGGGGTTTGGGGTTTGGGGTTTGGGGTTTGGGGTTTAGGGTTTAGGGTTTAGGGTTTAGGGCTAGGGTTTCGGGTTTTGGGAGAGACCCCGGCTCCTAATCCCGCAGGACCTGACCAGTGCTGGGGACCAGGAGGTTGACCCGGAAGGTGCTGACTTCGGCGGCCTGCCGGGCCCAGGATTTCAGGGCTTAGGGTTTAGGGTTTTGGGTTTAGGGTTTAAGGTTCAGGGTTTAGGGTTGAGGGTTTAGGGTTTAAGGTTTGGGGTTTCGGGTTTAAGGTTTGTGGTTTAGGGTTTGGGGTTTCGTGTTTAAGGTTTGGGGTTTAGGGTTTAGGGTTTCGGGTCCAGCGTCTGGGGTGTCGGGTTTCGGGCTTAGGAAGACCGAGGGTTCGGGGTTTCGAGATCGAGGCATAGGGTTTGCGTTTGGGGCTTCGGGAGATGCGGGGCTTAGGGTTTGGGTTTCGAGGGGCCTGAACAGGGATTTGATGGATTTCTTGACAATATGGAACCGGCCTCACTCCCCCCAAACAAGGGAATAGCCCTAGGGTACTGCTGCGCATCCTAGCTTCGGGACTCTAAACCTTTCACCACAAACGCAACATGTTCCTTCGTACTCCAGAAGTCCGTGATTAGGCTTCCTACGGCTCACCACAAAGAACTGGCCGTCCATTCACTCCGAGAATTGACAAGCAAATAAAGGCTATCAAGGCTATCAACTTCGGGGTGAAAACAAACGCTCTCTGCCCCCTAATTAACCCTTTACAACCAACAGGCTGCAAGAGCGAAGGGCTAATCATTTGACAGTCATGACATCGAAGCGATTCTCACCTAGTTTGGGGTTTAGGGTTTGGGGTCTTTAAACGGAAGCAGCTGGAGGTCGTTGAGCCTCGGCCACGCGCACTCTCAGCTCGTCGATGACACCTCCAGGTTTAGCGTCCAAGGTTCGGGGTTTAGGGTTTAGGGATTGAGTTTAGGGTTTAGGGTTTAGGGTTTAGGGTTTAGGGTTTAGGGTTTAGGGTTTAGGGTTTCGCGTTTATGGTTTAGGGTTTGGGGTTTGGGGTTTGGGATTTAGGGTTTAGGGTTTGGGGCCGTGAGTCCCTTGACAAGGCTGAGTCAATGCGCACCACCTAAGCCTCCGGAAGCCGGCCCTTGCCTGTAGGAGTAGGTTCCCGGTTTGAAACAACGTGGAGAGTTTAGGGTTTAGGGTTTAGGGTTTAGGGTTTAGGGTGTAGGGTTTCGGGTTTCGGGTTTATAGTGCAAAGATGGACGTCCTGAATCCACAGTCCCCTGAGCAGCCCTGAGTGTCCTCAGTGAGCTGATAGGAGCCTCCATGGGTACATATGGAACCCTACAACCGAAATCCTAAACCCTAAACTCTAACCCTTCAAAAAGCCGTCACAACCCCAAACTCTAGCCGATAAACACCTACTTCCCAAACCCCTAGACCCCTGAACACCTCAACCCCTAAACCTCTCCACCCAACCCCTAAACCCTAAACCCTTAAAACTTGGATGTTCCCCCTTATGCTAGCAGTCCTTAACAGGGATTGAAATAGGGGGTACTATAATCCCTATTAAAGACTGTTCGTATAAGGGGAACATCCCAACTTCAACCCTTCAAACCCTAAGCCCCTACAGCCCCAAACCTCTAAACCCTAAAACCCTAAAACCCTAAACCCTAAACCCTAAAACCCTAAACCCTAAACCCTAAACCCTAAAACCCTAAAACCCTAAAACCCTAAAACCCTAAAACCCTAAACCCTAAACCCTAAAACCCTAAAACCCTAAAACCCTAAAACCCTAGAACCCTAAACCCTAAACCCTAAACCCTAAACCCTAAACCCTAAACCCCAAGGCGATCACCCAGCCGAACCGTGGCCGGGCCTCGCGTCTTTGTCCAGAGCTGGGTAAGCTTCCTTGAGCTGCGGAAGGGTTTAGGGTTTAGGGTTTAGGGTTTAGGGTTTAGGGTTTAGGGTTTAGGGTTTGGGGTTTAGGGTTTAGGGTTTAGGGCCAAAGAACCCCCTGCAGTTTGAGGACTTCACATATCAGGATTCATCCCAACACCCCAGAGTGCCGAAACGCAAAAAGGTATGGGGGTTTAGGGCAGGGCCAGCGGGGGGGTGAAGATTTAGGACCCCGAGATCCATGCCGCCAAACCGAACCCTCACCCAGACATCTATTGATCAGGTACCAGCGGGTATTCTGCACTGATTCCGATAGAAGGGTTTAGGGTTTAAGGTTTAAGGTTTAGGGTTTAGGGTTTAGGGTTTAGGGTTGAACAGGTCTTAAGGCGCTTGAGGCTGACATGTGCATGTCTACGCAATGTACGTGTGAATGGAAGCAAGTATGCAAGCCCATATGTACATTCATGTGAAAGTTTGTCAACCCCCCAAAAAAATAGATAAAACACAATAACAAAAACAAATACTAAAATGACAAATAAGCAATAATAATAGATAAGAATAGTATTGACAAAAATAATAATAACAATACAACATTGACAATCATGACAGAAACGAAAGAAGAAAGATAACACACAAGAAAATATAAAAGGTCAGCCCCCTTACTCGTGAGGATTCGCCTTTGGAAGGGACAGAAACCTGAAGTCTCGACCCATTCTGCCACCCAGGGGCAGCTGCAGCAGCTGCTCGCTGCCGTCGGGACCTTCTTAGGGTTTAGGGTTTAGGGAGTTTAGGGTTTAGGGTTTAGGGTTTAGGATTTAGGGTTTAGGGTTTAGGGTCTAGAGTTTAGGGCTTGGCGCAGTCTAGGGTTTAGGGTTGAGGGTTTAGGGTTCAGGGTGTAGGGTTTCGGGTTTAGGGTCTTGCAGTTTTGTCAGACAGGGCTCTGTTTGTAGGAGCCGCAGATGCAATGTCATGTTCATTGGCATGTTGAAGGTGAGATGGTGCCCAGGCCCCGAAAATTACCATAGGAAGGGTTTAGCTCTCCCTAAACCCTAAACGCTAAACCCTAAACCCTAAACCCTGAAAGTTCCGGCGTTTGTGGATATTGCTGCGGGGGCGAGAGCCGAGCCACGTCTTAGGGCCTGGACTTTCGCCAGTCCACCAGCATTATAGGGTTTAGGGTTTAGGGTTTCGGGTTTAGGGTTTAGCTTTAGGGTTTAGGGTTGTACTGAAATACGCCAAAATCCGCAAACTCCCTTACAGCAGGGTGGCCTGACAGCCACAATCTAGAAGCCAATGTAAACAGAATGGGTAGCGTTCATTACTCCGACGCCCCTAAACACGTAACCCTATAAGCCCCTCAATGAGGGTTTAGGGTTTAGGGTTTAGGGTTTAGGGTCTAGGGTTTAGGGTTTAGGGTTTAGGAATTAAACCCCATGTCGAACAAACAACCCTAAATCCTACATCCCTTTGCCCTCCACAACCCCTACATGCCCCCTCAACCCTAAACCCCTAAATCGCTAAACCTCACACCTAAACCCTAAACCCTAAACCCTAAACCCTAGACCCTAAATCCAAATCCCTAAAGCACCCCGGCCTGGATAGGCCACTGAGATGATCGGAGAGTTCACACCCACATTCCGCTTGTGGCCTTGGGCGTAGGGTTTAGGGTTTAGGGTTTAGGGTTTAGGGTTTAGGGTTTAGGGTTTAGGGTTCTAGGTTATGGCTTTACCCGGCATTAGGGTTTTGGGTTTAGGGTTAAAACGGTGGTTTCCGGCTTTGCAAGCCAGCTTAGGGTATGTAACTGTCAGGCCGTTGGTGTTTCAGGGTTCCCTAAACCCTAAACCCTAAACCCTAAACCCTAAACCCTAAACCCTAAACCCTAAACCCTTAACCCTAAAACCCTGAACCCTAAACCCTAAACTCCCTCAGCTACCCTCTTAAAGCAGGTTCGGCCTTGCATTTGGGGGCCTTTGAAGATGCAGGGGCTTGAGTGCCTCAGCAAAACTGCTTTGCTTAAGAACACCCCCCCCCAAAAAACAAAAAAAAAAACAACAACAAAAAAAAAGAAAGAACACCCCCCCCCCCAAAAAAAAAAAAAAAACAATAAAATCCCTATATTGCCCTTATAAGGAAGCTTATTTTTGATGTTTATCTCTTTCTTTTGTTTTTTTATGTTGTTTTTTGGGGGGTTCTTAAGCAAGCAGTAGAAAACTCCACCGGCTCGATCGAACACCCTCTCCAGGGTTCAGGGCTTCGGGCGTTTAGGGTTTATAGGGTTAGCGTTCTGAGGATGTTTTAGGGTTTTCAGGTTGTTTGTTTTTGGTTTGAGGGTTTGCAGGGTTTAAGGATTTTAGGGATTTTAGGGTATTTAGGGTTTTTAGGCTTTGGGGTTTAGAGTTGGGTATAGGGTTTTCAGGGTTTAGTGTGTTCAAAGTGTCACTCCAAGCTTTGGAATTTAGGGCTGAGGGCTTAGGGCTGAGGGCTTAGGGTGTAGACTGAACCCTAAGCCCTGTCAAACACCAACCTCCGAACACACCGCAATACCCCAAGCTCGGAAGTCTGAGCCCTCAAACCCTCCAGCCCTAAACCCGCCCCGACCCCCCCTCCCCCCCCCCCGACCTCCCCAAGGCCTCTTGCGTAGAACATCGATCCCTGCCCAAAACCTGAAACTCTATTTGCCTACAGTTTAGTAGAAACTACCCTTAATTCAGTAGGCATAACCCATAATGACTGGTAGGCAAAGAGGGTCCCGGCAACAAAACCCCCCAGCAAACTCTGCCCCCAAGCACCTCCAGCTTTCTTCTCGGAGGCGCGCGCCATTGTGGAGCTGCATGGCTCGCGATGGATCGGCTGAGGGAGGGGCCGTGGGGCTGGGGGGGGTATGGCCTTACGGGTCTGGTGTATCTGCATTGGCTGAGGGGGCTTTCGGGTTGTAGGTGCATAGGAGTTTTTTGTGCTTTTCTAGGCCAAAACCCTAAACACCAACACCCATGTTGTTAGGGGTTTTGGGTGGGGGTGTAAAGGCTTGGGCTGTAATGGGGGGTCGCTGGGTCTGCATAAGTCTTTGGGCAAGGCTCTGGACTTTGCTTTGGATCGGGCTTGGGTTTAGGTTTTAGGGTTTAGGGTTTCGGTTTTAATTAACGCTGTTTAGGGTTTGGGGTTCAGAGCACCTTGTCACAAGGAGCGTCTGCGGCTCTTGATCAAGGGCTAACCGCATGGCTCTTGAGCAGCCTTGACGGCCAAAGTCCTCGGCGTCCTCTAACCCCTAAACCCCCTAAACCCTAAACCCTAGACCCTAAACCCGCAACCCCAAATCAAACCCTAATCCCTGAACCCGAAAACCTAAACTCCCTGATGAAAGATGAAACCCTACGCCCCCAAGATGGGCTTAAGGTCTTGGGCAACTCTCAAGCTGCTGAGCTGCAAGCATATACTTTCAAACGACTTGTGGAGCGACCCTCTATGGGGGGTTTAGGGTTTAGGGTTTAGGGTTTACCCTCCCCAATATAGATCCCCAAGTGGTGGATCCCCATATAATAAGGACCCAACAAGGTTCCCCTAATCTCGGAAACCTCCATATCATCCTTTAACAGGGCATATGCGTCGTAAGGTGCAAAATTTTTGATTCCTACTCAGAACGAGTAAGTAACAAGCCAACGTCCTTGGGTTAAGTTAGGAGACTGAAATCCTAGTCCTCTAGACCCCAAACCCTAAACCCCCTGCACCCCGCATTCTACCCCCTAAACCCCAAACCCTACACCCCAAACCCCTAAACCGCCAAAAGCCCAAAACCCCGAAGCCCTACACCCCAAACCCCCCGTGTCTCATCCCTACGTGGAAGATCATGGGTACGAAGTTGTGTATAGCTGCACTTAGAACCTATAAGTCAGGGTACTTGTAACTCAACAGCCCAAACCCCAAACCTGCAACCTAAACCCTAAACTGGCCCTAAACCCTAAACCCGAACCCTAAACCCTGAACCCTAAACCCTAAACCCTGAACCCTAAACCCTAAACCCTAACCCTAAACCCTAAACCCTACAAGTCGACCTTCCTTGAAGCCCCGAAGCCCAAGCAGACCGAAGGTGGGGGGTCACTGAGGCTGCGCGGACCTGCGCGGCAGCTTGGTGGAGGGTTTTTGGGGTTTAACAGGGTTTGGGGTTTGGGGTTTAGGGTTTGGGGTTTAGGGTTTGGGGTTTAGGGTTTGGAGTTTAGGGTTTGGGGTTTAGGGTTTGGGGTTTAGGGTTTGGGGTTTAGGGGTTTAGGGTCTAAGGTGTTTGGGTTCACGGTTGAGGCCATGGGTTGTTTTGGCAAGGTTTCGGGTCGTGGTCTCAAGAAGGCTGAAGCCCTTCCGCACCCAAAGCCCCCTGGTTCTTAGCGAGGGAATGATGGTTATAGGGTTTAGGGTTTAGGGTTTAGGGAATTAGGGCCCCATATATGCTCTTTAACGGAGCAAAACGGGGCACCTCATTCCCTCATTCCCTAGGAAGAACCAGCCGGTAAGCCCACAGCCCATGACCAAAAGTCCCGACTTCTAGAGGAAAGGTAAACCCGAACGGTGTTTCTGCGACATGGCGCAGAAGCTGTTGAGGTTCTCAAGACCCTAAACCCTAAATACTAAACCCGTAGCCCTAAACCCGGAACATGCAAAAGTGCAGCTATGACCCAAATGGGGAGGGGGGGGGAGGAGGGAGGTGGGGGAGGGAGGGGCTGAGGGGAGGCGGCATGTACCATGCCTAAGCCTTTGCGGGCCTGAGTTCACATTGCCTAGCCTTTCCTTGCCTCCTCTGGAGCTCCGAAAATAAGCAACACCCTGAACCCTAAACCCTAAACCACGAAACAAAACTAAGAAAGAGGTGCTGCGCAGGTTCTGGGTCCCAGTGCTTGGGAGACCGCCAAATCTTCAGGAACTATTACCATAAGAAGGGTGCTACACTTCTTCTGTTGGTAACTTAATCTTCTTCTGTTGGTAACTTAATCGAAAACAAGGGCCCAAGTTTGGTTAGAGGTGGAGAAACACAAGGGCTTAGGGGTTAGGGTTTAGGGTTCAAAGGGAAGGAGCTACATGTGGGAGTCCAGGTGTCTACCAACACGAAACCCCGTAAACTCTGAGCACTCCAGCACAAACATCGGAAGTGCCCGAAAGCAGCCCAATAATCATAATGCTTCAAGGTTTTAGGTTTAGGGTTTAGGGTTGCAGGTACGTACTGTGTTTGGACTCCCCTGAACCCAAAACCCTAAGTCTAACACACAGCTACCTCTAGACCCTGAATGCCTGTGCCTTGCATTCTTCAGAACCCCTAAACCCTAAACCCTAAACCCTAAACCCTCAACCCTAAACCCTAAACCCCAAGCAAGGAACCCAGGAGAAACTGTTTACCTCTCTTCCGCAGCAAACACTTGCGCAGAGGAACTGATGATCCCGGTCGGGGTGCTGATTGGCTTCCGGGTTCTTAGGCTTAGGGCTTGGGGTGGGGCGGGCAAAACAAGACCTGGGTGAAGAAGTACCGCCGGCACACACACGCACACAAACACACAGACGCACACGCACGCGCACACTCGCACACTCACGCGCACGCGCACACACGCGCGCGCGCCCACACACACACACACACACACACACATGCGTACACACACACACATGCGTACACACACACCCAACGTGTGGCACCCGCTTTTGTCCATGCGCAACATGTAAGGGCAAACCCGAAACCCGAAACCACAAACGTTTAGTGTTAAGGGCTCGGAGATGAGGGTGCAGGGTGTAGGTTTCGGGAACTTCGGGTTGAGGGTGTAGCGTTTAGGATATGGTTTCTGTGCACGTTAAGTGTGGAAAAGGGAGGGTTCTCCAAATCGAGGCCGAGACATCTTGCAACGTGCACGCAGCTGCAAGCTCTACGACGCTGGAGCATAGAGGTCGCTCCACACTTGAGTGCTTGATTCTTGGAGGCCGACCTAAACTGCGGCCTTTTTTGGCCGCTAAGCTGTAAGGAAGCTCACTCTACTCTACTCTACTCTACTTCACTCTACTCTACTCTCTACTCTACTCTCTATACTCTACTCTCTACTCTCTACGCTACTCTCTACTCTACTCTCTACTGTCTACCCTACTCTCTACTCTCTACTCTACTCTCTACTCTCCTCTCTACTCTCTACGCTACTCTCTACTCTACTCTCTACTCTCTACCCTCTACTCTCTACCCTCTACTCTCCTTTCCTGGAGACGCCAAAACGGGCACGAAGTCTAGGCCAACCCCCTTATTGAGTTCTGGACCTGGCAGGTCCAGGACCAGCTATGTGGGCTCCCTTCGGATGGACTCGGCAAGCATGGAGGACCCTTTGGGGTTTAGGGTTTAGGGTTTAGGGTTTAGGGTTTAGGGTTTAGGGTTTAGGGTTTAGGACACGAGGGGTTTCAAATTATCGGGTTCAGGGCTGTAGGGTTGCGATGTTCCCTGTTATACTAGGAGCCCTTCATAGGAATCATAATAAGGGGGGGTACTGTAATCCCTATTCAAGACTGTTAGTATTAGGGGGAACGTCCCAAGTTTAAGGGTTTAGGGTTTATAGGGTTTATAGGGTTTCCCGAATGCAGTAACTGAACGAGCACGTTCGAAAAGTCATTACACTTTTGAACGGCACCTGCACAAGAGATCAAACACGTAAGCACGTGACCAGGTGACCAGATGGTTCTTCAGGGTTTAGGGTTTAGGGCTCCCTAATACTCCCTACTACTCCCTAACCTCCCCTGAGGTTCCCTAGGTACCTAGCCCCCATGAACTCCCCTCCTTTAAGAACCAACCCTATAACAAGTGGACCCAGGCCCACAGCTGTTCCATCCTTGACTGGGACGTCCATCTTTGCAGGCTAATCCCTGCATAAAAGCCCTAAACCCCGAAACTCATCCAAACATTGCCAAGATCAATGGCAAGAGTCCCTCGACGCCCCCTGGCTACTGTATGAGGTTGAACTCAAGATATCCAATTTCCCAAATTCGGGCTCCCCCAAAATCCCCCCCAAAAAAACAAACAGCAAACAAAACAACCACCCCCCAAAAAACAAAAACACAGACGAAAAAGAAAAACGAATGAATAACAAAAACGAACAGCTATGATCCTTCGTATAGGAACCCCCCAAACGAGGGTACCTCGATGTTCAAACACCATGTCCTACTGCCTTGTACTGGAACACGCGACGCGAGCTGCGTTTGTATCTTTAGCAAACCTGCGCTCTGGATCCGTAACAAGGCGCCAAGCCCTAAACCCCACAGACCCTAGAGCCCCCAACTGTCTGCACGAGCTCCTGCTAGAACCCCTGAAAGCAAGCCTAAACCATAAGCCCCCAAGCCCCTAACACCCTGAATCCCCAAACCCCTGAAGCGAAAACCTTGAAGTCCTAAACCCTAAACCCTAAACCCTAAACCCTAAACTCTGCACCCTGAACCCCTAAACCCCTGAAGATTCCCAAAAACACCGGAAAAAGACCCTTAAAACCTCGAAATGCCAGAGTCCATCCAAGCCAGCCACTGCTTAGAAAGATTCAGGGGCGCTGGGCTGGTGACCCCGCCTGGACCCACTCCTTTTTGGTAGGGTTTAGGGTTTAGGGTTAGGGTTTAGGGTTTAGGGTTTAGGGTTTAGGTTTAGGGTTTAGGGTTTAGGGTTTAGGGTTTAGGGTTTAGGGTTTAGGGTTTAGGGTTTAGGGTTTAGGGTTTAGGGTTTAGGGTTTCGAATTTAGGGTTTAGGGTTTAGGGTTCAGGGTTTCGGGTTTGGAGTTGAGGTTTAAGGTTCAGAGTTGACATTTTGAGGACATGCAGGTCTTTTGAGG